GTCTCAAAGATGTAATGAGCTGTTATGTCAAATACAGGCATTATTATTATTATTGTTATTATTATCTTTTGACTGAGATGGTAAACGAAAATCCTGGCTACTCATGTAGATGTTAAGCATCACTTTACACAACAAATTTCCTGGATTTGGGCCAACAATTCTCAGAATTGGCCATTCACATCATGGCCATTTGGTACAAATATCTACTTTTTTGCTTATTTTGCCCTCAAAATATACAGTCAGTTCACTTTACAGTATATTCTGTGAAGTACTTTCAGATGTCGAGAAGACGTGATAAGGCGCTGTATCAGATGCAAGTATTATTATTAAAAAAGTCACGACAATTGACAAGAATGTGCCGAGATGTTTTGACATGAAAAAGTGTCCTAAATATGCACCTCTTTTTCTGCGTATAGCAAGTAGTCGACAAAACGCAAGAAGATTAATGTAAATGTTAAACAGTACAAATGCTTTTGCTGTTCACCCTGTAACATGGCAGCTTTGTTAATAAATCCTAACTTTGTTCTGCTGATGTGGTTATTAAAGACATGCCTAGAATGGTAAAGCTCTGTTGTGAACATGAATAATGAAGCACTTTCTACCAGAGGATAAACTGACTGCTCACTAAATATTACTGGCATTCGTCTGAACTTGATTTTTTCATGATACGGAGTTGACCAGCATCCAATGCCATGATCAGGTGGAGTGAAAGGCATGTTCGCCAAGACTTAATTAATTCTGCTGCTGAGTATGACGGCTTTGATGTTGTCCTAGACCTAAATGATCAGAAATCTATCCACTTCCACGAAGGTTCCACCTGCTACCGTGTGGATTGTGGCTACTACTATTATTACCACCGACATGATTCTTAAAGGAAAGATAACAGGGACTTTGCTTGGTTTATCAGAAGCTTCAGTTGTATGTTGTTTTTGCCACATTCAGACAGTCGTTGAGATCAGACTCCAGTGACTGTAATTAAAAGATGCTACCATGTACTTGCTGAAAAGCTTGATGAAATGCTCAGGTGCTGAGGTGAAGACAAATACAGTGCCTTGAAATTAATACTGCTTCTCGCACCCCCTAGTCTTTGCCCCCAAAAGTTCTCACAAAACTTTTCACTTTAGTAATGAGTGACAGTGCTGTCAGATGTCCTTGTGTTTCTGACTGTGTTCCCCTTTGAAATTTGATGAAATTGTTAAAATGGCATTGCAATTTTTGTTTGCACTTTAAAGAGTTATTTACCATTTCTCAAACAATCACAGCTGTCAGTAAAAGCTTTCACTGTTTGGCCATTTAGAACCGTACATGGCTCCTGCAGTGCATCATTGCGGCCTTGAATCAGGAGATTGTCAAAGAAAGAAGTCTACGTTTCAAAGCTTTTTTTTAAAAAATCAGAATAACTATTTTATGTTTCTGTGTTCATTAATAAACCACACAGTTTCCAGTTGTGGATGGTTCAAATATCTTAGTCTTGTTGGGTTAGATTTTATGTACACACACACATTCCATATCTTTCAGTATTTAATCATCATTACAATGACATGACTTTCACAGACGTCTTATAATTGATCATCTGCACAGCAATCATCTGATTGCTCACATGGAACAACGGAACTCAAGGCTATTTTCCAGAAGGATCTGTAACTGGAGGAAATAACTAATCAGAATTTACAAGAACACAGAGTATTTCTCATACCTGCCATAAACGATGTAGATTCACACAATATTGGTTCCACTTTTATAAAGTGTACTACCATTATTTTTGATGATTAATTAGGTACAAGACATTTTAGCATCCTACAAACCAATTCTCCCGTTATTTAACAAGTGAGCATGTGAATAGTTCTTTCCTGCAACATCCTACACTGAGTTCAAACCAGACTTTGCTTACCACAGTCTTTGTAATCCCATTTGTGGCTGAGGAACAGAAATGTTTATCCCGGTGAAACTCACATTAAAAACATACCTGTGCTGCTGTTAGTGCTGTCAGAAGCTAAGGCCATGAGTCTGGATCAATGAGGCGCCAAAGCAAATGTGCGTTGGATGTGGCAACAGCCAGATTGACAAAGGCTGGAATGACGAGTTTTGAAATTAAATACTTGCGTGTTTTAATGCTTTGAGCCATCATTATCATTGTTCTTGAAGGAGGAATATATTCAGCACCTGAAGTGACTGTGGACTAATCCTAGAAACCATCAGGCTCTGATGGGACTTCCTCAGGCTCAGTATCCGGATGTTTGATAGCGAACACATCTTGTGATCTTTTAACTTGATGTGACAGTTGGATTTTTTTGGGTGACAGCGACAATGTTCTTGAAATCCTTTCAAAATGTTTAGAGGAATCTAACAAATGAGTAGCTTTCGCTCTAAGAGATGACCTTGTTTTCACGGTTCTCCACACGGCTACATCTACGTTGGTGTTAAGAGTTAGATTTGGGCCAAGTTTCAAAAGTTTTCTGACTTCACAAGAACATTTGAAACTTTCATTGCCCCCCCACCCCATAAAAGTGCCTGGTGAGCGATTTGTGGTTGAAGACATTGAAGTGAAGTGAAGCAAAGATGTTGGCTGTCCCAGATTATTCAATTTAGATTAATCTACGCCAGATGTAGAGATGTAGCTAAACTCTGGTAGTCACTGAAAGGGCCATGGTTTTCATTATATTCTAAAAAAAAATCTCTTAACCCAGTTATGGTGTCTCATATGTCATTAAATTCAGTTAAATAGGCTGAAAAATGAATTTAGTGAAATCAATACAAGTACATTATGACCAAATCCTTTTAAGGAAAAGATTAGTCAATTTAGGAGATAACAAGTTTACCAATAAATATTTCTTGATATTTTTGAAGATATGACACGCTCTGAATGCTGTGTTAACTGGAAAAGCAATTGAAAGACACAGTAAACTCAATGGATTATGAATAATGGGAGAGAAATCTGAGGAAAATCCCTTACAGATAATTAATATAAGGCAAGCTTCAAACACAAAGTATTACATGGCATTGATTGGATTCCAGTTATCAGACTGGCTCAGTTGGTAGCACTCCCAACACTGAGTTTTTTAAAAAAAAAATCAAATGGTAGTTTGAGTTTGAGGGCTTACATTAAAAGGTAAGTAAACTTAAATATTTTATCCAAGAGGATTAAAATGCCAAATTAAATGATGCTTCGAGTAAAAAAAAGTTATTCTCAATTAGTTCAAAGGTACAACAACAACAACAAGATTCCATTTATAGAGCGCCTTTCACGTCGGGAGGACGTCCCAAGGTACTAATGGTATCTTGATAAGGAGGGAGAATTCTAAACAATTTGATTGATGTGGTAGGGAATTCAAAAGCAGTCTAAAGCAATGTATCCCTCTGCTAAATCAAAGAAACCATACAAAAATGTGATAGAAAGTGTAGACTTCATCCAAAGTTTTAAGACTGTATTAAATTTTAGTGATCTATATTGCTGAAAACATCTGGGATTACGTTTTTCAACAAGGTGAGCAATAAAATCCTAAATGGAAAGTACGAATGTGCGATTCATTTGTAAGTGCCATCTTTTAGATCCGTCTTCTCAAAACTCACAATAATGAAGAACACAGTTGTCTTTCAAGAAACCTACCGTTGAAAAATATAATTTTAGGATTTGACAAGAATACATTATCTTGGACAGAACTACATGGACCAGAAGTTTTCCTTGATACGAATGCCGAACGGCTGCATCATCTACACATCAGACCAACTTGTTGTCTGCAGTTCACTCAAAATTTGGGTCATTAAAACTAACAGAGTAATTTTAAGCAGATTTGACGGTTACAAAATGTTCCTGCAATGTTCTACAGAAATCAGGCACACCCAATGTGTAATCCAGTGTAATCTGGGAAAATTGTGTTTTAGAAGATCCCACGGCAGTACTATTCCAAAAGAGAAGTGAATTTCTCCTGGTGGAGTCCTGGAGCTCAGTGGTGAGAGCACTCGCCTCGCAAGCGAGAGACCTGGGTTTGATTCCCAGGCAGGGCCAAACGTTGGACAAGTTTCCTTACTCCACACACCTAATAATAATCGCTCAAGAAAAAAAAACACAATAATAATTTGTTCACTCAATCCACGACTGTTTGTGGGACGCTGCTGTGCGCAATTGGCTGCCGCGTTTCGCCCACAAACATACAGTCAATTCACTTTAAAGTCTATACGGTGAAGCGCTTTGAGACATCTAGAAGATGTGAAAAGTGCTGTATCAAATGCAAGGCTTATTATTATACTGCTCATCTTCTGCTAATGCCAACAAGATACACCGTTACACAAGGCGAAGGTTTCCAGATGTGAGAGGCGCGATATCAAGTGCAGGGATTATTTATTATTAACGCGAATACTGAGATCAGTGAAACCAGCAAAACCTAAAAACACTGTCTTACAATATCCTCAGCTGTTATTTGCCTTTCTGAAAAAAATACCAGAACGAATTTCTGAGAAAAAGGGAGGGGGGGATAATTGTGGTGGGAATGGTGCTAACTTGGCGATGTATGCTCAGAATGCGAATTTGCAATACAAGTGCACAGCATTGTCAATCAGCATTCTCCCCCCACACACACTAGCACATTTCCTGTTGAATTTTGTATGTCTGGTCCATGTACAAAGTGGAATCGTTTGGTAAATTCCACTCAATCCACGACCTAATCTGTGGACATTAACAATTAAGGCCTTGCCCCTTACTGTGACACTGCATACCAGTCAGAGTAAAACATTGTGCATTTTCTAAAAAAAAACCATGATGAATACATAACTGGGAAATATTAGTTAAGTGACATATAGAACAAATAGGAAAAGGTAATAGATCAAACAACAAGAAAACTTCTTTAATTCAATTCCCCGTGTCCTGTGGGCAACACAGTAAGTAACACAGTGACGATACAGTAAGAGGAGGTTTGATGTATATTTTTTGCTTTCCAGATGGGGCTGTATCTGATGTACATGCACAGAAAGAGGGAAAATAGTCCATAGCTTATAATACTCACTGTGAGGATTAAAAACGATCCTTTCACAAGCGTCAAAATGGACATAATTGGCTGGAGAACAACTTGAGCTGTGATAATACCCAGCACCAGGATCCAGGTGAAGAACGGGATGACGTGCAGATACCTGGGTCAAAAACACACACATTAATGTTGTACCAGTTCTTCACGAATTCAGAAGAATACAGTTTTGAGTTGGAACCAACTGACTCATGTTCACCTATTAGGATCAAGCTGTAAATGTATTAATGATGGGTACAATTAACCACAATCCATTGGCGTTGACTTATGGGAACTACTAAAACTTACCAACTTGCCCGTTCCCACCACTCAGCAGGCATTGGTCTGCTCCAATTTTATCCCTGAGATTCTTAACAATATGTTTTCAGTCGAATCAGATCATATTTAGATAATCAGTTTGAGGCAATAATAAAAATAATAATAATCTTTGCCTCTCATCACATCAAGCTGTTTTGGTAGGAGACCATCACGCTGCTCGCCAACCTGTCTAACTTCCCAAACGTTCCTTTTATCCCATTATTTAATCACGCTTCCATCGCTTTACTTTCCAGTTCCTTTTTGAAACTGCTTTGTACAGTAGCTGGTGGTTTTACCATGCGACCTGGTGGTTAGTTCTCTCTACGCCTATCACCTTTCTAACGAAGATATGTTCTCCGCTTCACTTCCTATTCACTTTTATTGCCAGTGGATTTCTCTTGTTGAAAAGGTCCACAAAAACAGGTCTTCTTGTACAAATAATATTGGCTATTATACTGACTGGCAGATCATAGATGAGGAGCAGAGATTAACACAGCTGGTCAACCTGCTGCATAATTCTGGATTTTCAACTCTGCTTGGGGGGAAAAAAGAAAATCCCTTCATACACATCTCAAAAAACAATCCGTTTGACACACAAAATCTCACGAGATCTTTTAACTTTAAACTTCAGGAATGTAAACATAATTGTAGGGCATGAGAGAGGCTGAGGTTTGAAAATGAAAACACGCATCAGTTAACATCTACAAAAGCCTGTGTTTAAACTGGAACATAGCCACCACAAAGATTAATTCCCAACACGTTTTTAATAGGAAAATTGCTTGTCTATACAAATAGTCTGGACTGGAGCAACACTGCAACAGATCAATTTCTGAACCGACACATGTAAATATTTAAAAACAAAGGCAATAATCAGAGTCTCATTTGCATTACATTAAGCGAGCAATGTGATCCCTTTCCATTGCTACTGATTAGGTTTGCATGAACTAGGCACCCTGAGAATTGGGAGTAAGAATTTATATAACCTTCTGCGTCTGCCGTGGCATAGTTCCCATCTGATGCAATTCGGTGAAGCACTTTGACCCTATTATCTGATTAAACGCAGTTGTTAACAGTTGGTTCGTAACATTAATGTTCAGACTTATTCAACACCTAGTGTAACCAATTTGGGGTCAACACTTTGCTTCATACAAAGGCGATAAAGAGAACAGTACATCACAGATGCATTCAGATTGGTGGGGTTTTCAAAGGGGGGGGGGGGAATCACAACTAACCCCGTTTTGTCCTCGCACATCATCTACATTTGCGTACTTTCCAACAGGGTTCACTGGACGGTGAAAAAGGAAACACAAACCCCCAAAACAATTTTAGTACCACAATTACTGCCCCACCTAACATCAACTAATTCTTTCAGACTGGGATACAAGTCAGCAGTGTCTTAGTCTCCGTGACTTCTGCTGCATTGTGATAATAATAATAATAGTAATATTCCTTCCATTTCGAAATGCGCCCTTTACGCTGGGAGGATGTCATAAAGCGTTTCACATGTTACACTGTAAAGCGGAGTGAGTGTGAGTTTTGTGGGGAAAGCAACAGCAATTTGAGCAAAGCAATATCCCACAAACAGCTAGTGACGTGCCTTGATCTAGGCTCTCCCGTAGATGCGCGTTTTTAAATGCTGTGAAGTTCCTAAAGTTACAAAAACAACAATGCCGCAAGGCCTAGAAAGCTACTGGGAAGGTAGAAAATCAACATTCATTACAAGGAGTTGCACAGCATCTGAATAATCATTACAATCAGTGAAACCTTACACTGAAGACACATCGTTTTCAGAATTTGGTTTCCAGAATAGGTAAAAGTAACGGAGATATTTATTTCAGCAATGTTACTTTAATTTTGGACACAGATGCTGTGTATTAGAGCCAAAACACCTGCAGGTAGAAGCACACACACAGCGATTGAAATGAAATTATCAGTCACCATAACTGCTCACACACAAAACCTAGGCAACCTCTATAGATCCTCCCTCACGACAGGACAGTTATAATAAGTCAATTACTTGGCTTCAAGGAAGGAGCAGGAACATATAATTGCAATACAGACAATCATATAGCTGGCATTTCTTTCATTTAAAGCTGTCAAAGGGCATCGTTTGAGGAAATGATGAAGGCAAAAGGACAAGGCCTACAGTAAACAGTTCAGTATCAAATGTAAACTTCATTGACATTTCAGAAGGTTACATTCAACTTAAAAAGGGAAGTGGAGCTGGTTACAGATTTGCTTGGTACAACACCTGCCCAGTGAGGACAGACACAGTTGTCATTTTATCAAAAATGTTATACCTGATTGATCGCTTCTCAAGAAAACAAAATGATATCTCCATTCAGAGCTTCCAGGGTGAAAAAATATAATGGAAAAAAAATGAAGAACTTTAAGGAAGATACTTCTGTTATTTCTAATTATGCAGTATTCAGGATGGTATTACAACAACAACTTGCATTGTTGCCCAAGTGAACTAAGCTGGTGTTTGGACAAAGGTACAAATAAACAGCTCTCCTCCACACAAATCACCACAAGTGGGATTTCTTTCAAAATAAAGGATCACATTAATTAAACAAGTTTATATGTCCAGTCATTGTCCCAACATTCTTCCTTTAAATAAACAATGAGGTAAATTCTAAGATGGTCAACAACAGAAAGGTTGATTGATGAAAATCATGATGTTCAAAATACTTTCATAGAATCATAGAATATTATTACAGCACAGACGTAGGTCATTCGGCCCATCGTGTCTGTGCTTTCGAAGATTGCTACCTAATCAGTCCCACTCCTCCGCTCCTTTCCTCGTATCCTTGCAAATTTTCCCTCTTCACCTTTGTGTATAATGTTTTTTTTTAAGATTGCTGTGAAAGCTGTCTTCATATAGCAACTAATATAAACCCACAAATTTACAGCAAGCACTTTTAATATTACAAGTTCAAAACTATGAGGCACTCAAGATCCTACACAAATGTTCGTTCTGAAAAACGCTACAGTGCTTGTTAATCTTTAAGAGGATGAGAAGCAAAGAGAGCATGGTGTCAGAGAAATTTATTTCACCACAAATACGTTCAATTTGTTCTTGTGCTTGCTCAAGCATGCTTAAGAAGTCTATTGATTTTCCATTCATCTGCATCAAATTAAGTTCAATATAGTCTTCCAATAATCCAAACTGATTACTGAATCTGCCGATATGGTAAATTCCTAATTTACAGCGGCTCATTGCAAAGTTTTTTTTTGATGAGCTTATTTCAGTTTTATATGGTTACACTTGCCTTGTTTTATCCGTATGAAATTCTGCTCCGGAGCACCAAGATAATTATTTAACATGCAATACACTACAAAGATTCTCGGTGGTAAAATCCATAATTTGAAATGCGATAAAAAAAACTTCAATTAAAGATTTATTTATGGTTCGACTACAATTATAAATTCCTAATCCAAATCTCAAAAGTTTAAAATTCACAAAATGCCCACAGTGAAAATTAAAACACTTTCAAAGTCTATTTTTATATTTCTGACATTCTGCTCCCAGGTCTGTATTTGTTCCTCAAATTCTACCCTACCATAACTGAAATTGACGTTATTAATAGCAAAAAGGAAAAAAAAATCACTTTCGAAACATTAACCTAGTTTTCACTTGTGAATTTCAAGCTTTTTCTGTTGTATTTTAGATTCCTGGCACTTGCAGGTGTTCTTTTTATCTATTATTAGTAACGCAAGCTGTGCACCAGCGCTCACATACTATTTAGCAATGAGGTTCGATATACCACTCAATAGCTTGCAATTGTTCCTAAGCCCAGTGTCAGTGTGAAGCCGCTGATTACTGCCCCCGATTTAAATTGTTCTCATCTCACTTTCTGCTGTTGCATCCACTCTGCAGAGAGATGTATCGCCTTCGATCACCAATCATGGGGCTCCTGGTTTAAAAACTCCATCTTTGCAGAACATTTTATATCCTTGTTCCCCATTTCCCCCCTCTCTCTCTCTCTCTCTCTCCCTCCCTCCCGCTGGCAGTAATGTTGTTGCAATGCCAATAATGTCAGTGTCAGCACCAGTTACCTACAGGAGTCAAACATGCGGTTTGAGTTTAGAATAAAAATATCCTGGCTATGCCTGAGGCTGACCCTTCCCCTTTCTCCACCCTACAACAACAACAACTTGCATTTATATAGTGCCCCTCACACAGGGTAGCGTCCCAGAGCACGAACGCTGCGAGGGAGCAGATTTGATTGCTGCTATTTGATCCAGTTCGTGCTATTTTACTGCATGGCAACAAAAACAAAAGGATATTCCCACTAAATGGCTATTTAAAGGCTATTTTTTTCGTGTTTCTGTACCATATCTGTTGAGGTGACTTAATTGAGCAGGATTTAATATGAACCTGTTAGAAATACATCACAAATAAGGTGATCTTTATTGTCAAAAATATGATTAAGCTGCAGACCTACTCGTCATTCATCTCTGGTGGGTATCTATCATTTAAACAAGAGGCTCTGCAAAATATATATCCCATTATATTTGAAAATAAAATTTTTCATTGCTTAAAGACAAAGTACGACTGCACTTGATTTTTTAAGTCTATCTTTCAAAGGCTGTATCACAGGTTTTAAGGTACATCTGTTCTCCCTGCTCACGTATCACCTTGCAGTAGGGCCAAGTACTTTAAGATAGATCACACAGACTAATGGGTCTGCTGTTGCAGAGTGTATTGTGGAGACCAGTGATTTAACAAGTCAGTGCTGTCTGACCCAAATAACTCAGTGTTTGAGTAGATGCAGAACAAAGTCGCGCCTTTGAAAGGTCGTTTTC